TTTTAATATTTTTTAACTGAAATGTTTATTTTTTAGACAACATTTTATCATAATTATAATTGATAATGAAATTAATAAAAAAATATTTTGATAATTTTAACATAAATACATTAAAAAATAAAAAAAATACTTTGCTTGCATATTGTTGTGAGGGACTTTTTAATGGTGTTATCAAACCTAACTTGATCTAGTGGGTTAATAATATTATAAAATAATGTCATAATCTAATTCAGAAACAAAGTGAGAACTAAAAGGTATTTAATAAAAGATATCCCAAATATATTTTTTATTAATTTATTTAAATAAATTTTAATAAAAACGAGTTTAGAGTAAAGGTTTAGGTGAGCTAGTACAGTCCCAAATATATTTTTTATTAATTTATTTAGATAAATTTTAATAAAAACAAGTTTAGAGTAAAGGTTTAGGTGAGCTAGCACACTGACCTATTAAAAATAAGGTTAGTATATGGCCATGCAAAGCGAAGCTAATGTTATTTATCTATTTATCTTTTTTTTATTAAAAAATAGATACAAATTTATGCTTTGTGTATAGTAAAGAAAATTGCAATATTTTAATTTAGTGTCAAAGTTAGTTTTTATAATTTTAATTTATTTTAAATAATAATTTTTTTTTATTTTTTCAAATCAAATCAAGTATTAATTTAATATTAATATTTTTTTTACATCACAAGAACTTCATAGCAAATCAATCAAAATAAATTATTAGATTAAATTCTTGAGAATACAAAAAAAAAATCATTATGTAAATACATTTGGTGAATTCACAAAGTATTGTATCTTAATCGATATAATCTCTAAAGCAAATTTTTTTATTATTATTATTTGACATTAAATTGACAAAGTACAAAGTTGATGTGCTTTATAGTGGTATATAGAATAGTTAAATATACTTCTGATTATATTTCTTTCCCTAATCAAAACAAGCCTATATCCAAAACAATAGAGAATTCCGTTGTCTTTATCTAATCAAATGGACATCATTTCCTGTGGACATGATTAAAAAATATAAAACGTGGAGAGGAATTTATAGAGATACGGCCGTCTTTTGTGTGGGAATTACCTATAGGGTTCTTGACAAAGTACAAAGTTGATGTGCTTTATAGTGGTATATAGAATAGTTAAATATACTTCTGATTATATTTCTTTCCCTAATCAAAACAAGTCTATATCCAAAACAATAGAGAATTCCGTTGTCTTTATCTAATCAAATGGACATCATTTCCTGTGGACATGATTAAAAAATATAAAACGTGGAGAGGAATTTATAGAGATACGGCCGTCTTTTGTGTGGGAATTACCTATAGGGTTCTTTCTCATGTCAATTAGCGACTGGATTATTCTTTAATTATGAAGCATTTGCAAACAACCAAGCATCCAAATATTGCTTATGTCGTCTCTCTGTTAGGTTTATCATAAACAAAACCAAGAAAATTAGTGAAGAATGAACGTAAGCATATTTCTGTCTGTAAGCTGTTGTGTTAAAGTTAATTGCTTCATAGATTGCTTCGATCTGTCAAATGTTCGGCAATATCGACGATAACTGGGCGGTATATTTGTCGTGACCACTAGTTTTGAGGGAGAAGGAGCATCCACATTTCAACATTTAAGACTAGAATTTTAAACCTTAGCCTATGATTCATATTCTAATTTCTGTTTCCTTCTTGTTTCTCTTCAAGTTTGTGGAAGTTGTCAAGTGAATGGCCATTTCATTTTCTAATTTAAGAGCGAAAAAATTGAAATAAACAAATTAAGAAATGTGATCACATGAAATCATGTAAGATGAGGTAAAAAAAATTGCAAGGACATGAGAGAAAAAGGTGTTCTAAATAAGAAACAATAGCAATGAATGGTGAGTATAACCCGAAGTGATACATGTCCTCAGGCAAAATTTTCACCTGCATTTGATGGTGAGATAAGAAACAATAGCAATGAATGGTGAGTTCTTCTTTTTTTTTAAAAAATAAAATAAAATTATCTCCGTGTGATTTAAGCCGAACCCAAACAGTGTCATGTTTGGCGTTGTTTGGACAGGCCTAAGGCATGGCTCCCTCGTGCACTATCCATTTTCCCACCAATAGTAGTGCAAGACACTATAACCAAAGAGGGGCATCGATGTTTCCATCAATCACTCATTGTGACTCTATCTATTTTCAAGCTAGGCTTACATAAACAATGTTTATAAATATCTTGGTTTACCGGGTGTAAAGGGAAGCAAGTTTCTCTTATATTATTTCTCTCTTATCACTGTTAACTTAAGTATTGAAAAATCTTTCATTCCATGAAAGATTTAATTTCTCATAATTACATACTCAAGTCCTGACATAAGCCAAACACGAAGCCTACCTTATATGTCTTAGCCTAGTTTCGTAGATCATAAAAAGCTTGATTTCATGTGAGATTTTTTTTTTGATTTGATTAGTGGCAAAATCAATCAAAATCTAAATAAAAATTATTTCATTCTTGTTTCATATCTTTTCATCAAAAATATTTTTTATAACTAATGAAATTTTAAGCCAAATAAAAATAAATGATTTTCATACTAAAAAAATTATAATTTTTTCAGAATTTTAATAACTCTTCAATCAAGTGTAATTGTTTAACAATGTAATTATAAAAATATAATTATTTTTTATTTATGCAACAACAAGTCCCTATACATGCATCATTAAGTACATATTGACAACTTTATTTCTCTGAAAAGATGAGCAAGGTAACATATAAATGAGTAAAGCTCACATTTCTACACTTACAATGATCTACACACATCATTCTTACATGAGATGTTTCAAATGTTCTAGTCATTATTAATCTCCATTTGAATCTCACTTATACACTAGAAAAAGGCATAGGTGTGAAACAAGCTCTCTAACTCCATGAGTTTGAGAGCAAAAATACAACCCCTCTATCAAGCGGGAGAGTCCCCATTCGATCACACAATATCACACAAAAAGGTTTGTTCCTGTCTAAGGTAGCTTTAGGTAATGTAAGCCCTGCGAGTTCTAAATAGCAGGCTGGACCTGTTGGGCTTACAAAATCCTATAAATACATATCCTATATACACAGTTGACCCTTTAATGTTTAAGTTAGCAAAGTAGAAGGAAATATTTGTGTTATAAAGGTAGAGGATTCAATATCTAAGACAGATTGAGAGAAATCATAAGAAGCCTTGAATGTAAGAACCCAGAATGTTTGTATTTCTAAGCTGTTTTGTTTTTTTATGTTCCATTTCTTTTACCTAGCATCCGTGTTGAACGTTTATACTCGAAGGAACACATCCACTTGTATGGAAACAAGAGGCAAACAGGACATTACATACCCCATCTTGTCAAAGAGGCACACGTAAGGATCTATAGCTTTCAGTGGGTGGTGATGCGTTGTTCAGAGTGACGTTGTCACCTCCACCATTGTTGTCGAGTGAGATGGGTGTGACTACCATTACCATGTGTCTCCTAGTTCTGATAATGTCGGTGCAGGGACAACTTGAACTTCTCTTGAGCAAGGCAAATCCTCGTAGAGTTGGACCTTTGGGAAAAATGGCACAAAAAGCTACCCCCGGGGCACTATACTTAGGCTCGGAGTAGGTGGACTTTTTTCTTCTGTGCTTAGAGGCTAGGTCGTGGCTTTTTTAATCCTTTTTTTAATAAATAATTGATTGGTTTTTTTCAAAATCAAACATATTCGTACAATATATTTAAATATAAATATACAACATTTGCATGATATAAATACTATAACATACAAAATAAATTTAAAAAATTCCAAAATAAACATTCATTGAATTTAATTATGATTGGAAAAAAGATGTATACTCGCACTTAAATATAAAAAAAGAACTAATTAATTTTGTAGTAATCACGTTAAGGATTTTGAAACTTTTTCTTGATTGATTCATTTATAGAAAATGGATTCCATATCTTCAGATCATTCTTGTAGTACATGATTAAGAAATTATTAGGCATATGAAAATTAAGTATTCTAAAATTTTGGAATAGAATGGGAACAATTTTAATTTCCAAAAAGCTAGGGGTATTTGTAATGTAAACAGAAGCTAAAAACCGCTACAAAAAAAAAAAAACATATTTTATTTATGAGTGAAAGTGTTTGTAGTTAAGAATTTCAAATTTATAAGTTTATTTTATCTAAAATAATAATATTGAAGTCTACCTTATTACAAAAAAAAAATGTCAAAAACTCTACCTCAATTAAAAAACAAAAAAATAAAAATTACAAAAAAAAATCAAAATTCAAAAATAATAAGAAAATTTACAAAAACTAGCAAAGTAGAGGCTTAGTGCTAAATTTTTTAAATTTAAAGATCCAAAAGTCAGAGTAACAATTTTACAACTATTTTTAGAATAATAATCTCTGAAAACAATCCAATAACTGAATAAAAAATTATAATCTTTACAACTATTTTTAGAATAATAATCTCTATAAACTCCCGTAAAATATTGAAAACAATCTAATAACTGAATAAAAATTTATAATTTTTTTAAATTATCATTCTAGTATAACACGACTAGATATCTTTTTAAGTGTCAACCTATCCCATTAATTTATAAATATATTTATTAGAATTTTTATATAATTTATCTTAAATAAATTATAATTATAAGATAGGCTTAAAATCACTTATTATGCAAGCTTAAAATCTCTTGTTATGCAAGCTCAACTAAATCAATTTGCCAAACAAATATCCCTTATGAATACTACACACACACACACAAGGCCACTGAAGACCGGGTTCCAATGCTAGTCTTATAGCAGAAACAGTGCCAATCCTGACCTTTAACGGAGGAGAATTCCACGGTTTTTTGTCTTCCTCTAGTGTAGCAAGCCAAAATACAAGCCCTTCCTTGTGGTGAGAACCAACAACAAGAAAAATCTTGGAAAGAAACGAAGAGCTTGGAAGGGGAGGAAAAGGGACAGAAATTAAAGACAATATAACTTTGTTGATTAATTCAATCTTTTGAGTTTCAAATGTTATATATCACAGGTGATGAAGGGAGCTTCTCTTCAGGAAATACTGGAGAAAAAGTCCAACAGCTTCAAGAAAAGCAGCAACAACAGGCACAAAATCATTTCCATGGCTCAAACTCATCAGGACGTTCAGCCCCTACTAGCAGCAATGGGTCTATCTCCAAACAGCAACACCAGCCGGTTAAGAAGAAAAGAAATCTACGAGGAACTCCAGGCAAAGTCAACCTTACATGTTGGTATTGCTCTTAGATGCAAATTGAGTACATATTTAATTCTAATATATATCGGCATTATAATAAATTCGATGAATGAGATGGGTTGTTTGGCACAATTTTGTTTTTTTTTTCGAACGAAGCTGTTGGCACAGTTGGTTGATTACTGTCTATCATTGAATTTGTTATGTTCAATGCAAGCATGCAAATCAAGGAGGTTTTTTTTTTCTTTCTTCTTCTTCTTCTGTCAACTTTATAAAAAAACATAGAATTAAATTGGATTTTAAATTTTCGCTTTAACTTTCTCACCTTGAACCAAGGCTTCTGTTTTCTTTTCATTTTTTTTATTTTTATTTTTATGTTTTGAAAAGAGATGTTAGATGAATTGAAAGGTTCGATTATTGCTTTGAGATTACAATAACTGGTGAGAACTGTACTACTGACTTCAATTTTTGTTTCCAACTGTACTTCAAAGAATAGAGCTATGGATTTTCCCATGCATAGAAATTAATAACATTACGTAAGATCACCCTCGCCTGGACCATAAGTTAAGCTTTTTCTTCCTTCGTATGGTATAATAATCAAACTCTTTTTCAGAGAAATAAATCTGAATGAAAACAATGATTACTAATTAACTAGTCTAGCTTTTATGAATCAGATACTGCTGAAGTCGTTGCTTTATCACCAACGACCCATATGGAAACAAACCGTTATGTGTGTGAGATATGCAACAAAGAGTTTCGAAGGTACCAAAACCTGCAGTTGCATAGGAAAGGCCATAATCTTCCATGGAAGCTCTGGCAAAGAACTGCCACTGAGGTGAGGAAAAGGGTCTGTATATGCCCTGAGCTAACATGTGTTCACCACAACCCGGCTCGATCAATAGGAGATCTAACTGGCATTAAGAAGCATTTTAGCCGAAAAAATGCCGAGAAGAAATGGAAATGTGACGAGTGCTCGAAGAAATATGCAGTACAATCTGATTGGAAAGCTCATCAAAAGACATGCGGTACGAAGGAATACAAATGTGATTGTGGAACCATCTTTTCCAGGTTAGCAAAAAAAATAAAAATTATCATGGAAGAAAAACATGGATCTAATTTTTTTTAAAATGATTATGGCCATTTTATATGCATGATAAATTATAAGTAATTAATTATTTTTGGGATGTAAGTAAATTTTTAAGTTGCAGAGCCACATAAAGTAGTTGACACCTTCATGCTGCCAAAACCAGTTCAAACCGTGTCTGATATTGTACGTAGATTTTTTCGCTGAAGTTATGGTAAAAATGTGAGTTATGGTCACTTTCCAGATAGAAAATATGGTTGGAATGGCCGGAAAATTGATAAATTTTGAACATTCAAGTTACAAATTACTAATCTTCAGTCTCTTATCAGTATTTTAACTCCTAGATAGCAGCCTAACGCGACCCCACTGCTACCAATCATGCAGAAGAGATTGCTTCATCACCCACAGAGCTTTCTGCGATGCATTAGCAGAAGAAAACAACGGAGTAAACCAAGGAGTAATGGCCAACATGGGTTCAAACTTGCAAAACCACATGTCAGAGCCCATGTCTTCAGTGTTAAGATGTAATTTGTAATTTTCAGTGTCTTGAGTGAATGTTTTCATGAGTAAAAGGGCTCTTTGTTATCTCTAGATTTGGAAGTTATGGGGTTCCTTGTTTTCCTCGGTCGAGATTGTCTATCAATACTATATAATGTCTTTCACATTCTGTCATGTAATCAGAACAAAAATAATAACAGAAGTCTATGGTATGCAGCAGCTCTACCAATTATTTTATAAAACACAAACTCTTTATTCATTTTTTTCTGCTGCTGCTATTTATTTCCAGCATTCAATGCCCTTGAGCACCAGCACTAGCATATCAATTGGGATGCCATATTTCAATAGCTTCGACCCCAAGAACTCCCTCAAATATCTCCCTCAAGAACTCGTGCCAATTCCATCCAAGTCCATGAACATGGCAGGGGGCATGTTGTCGAGCAGCTCGGGCACTCTCTTCGGCAGTCCAAGAAGCATTTCCTCAACTTCTAGCCTCCAACTCAGTTCCAAGGGCTCATCTGGGTTACATTATCTTCAAGACAACAAAAACGGTTGCCAAATCTCGGCCTCTGCTCACATGTCAGCGGCGGCCATGTTGAAAAAGGCAGCACAAATGGGTGCCACCGCTAGCAATAGTATTAACTCTCCCGTGATGCAAAAGAGCTTTGCCAGTAGCATGGCAGGTCCTCATGATCAGCTTTCTTCTATTAAACCAAAAACTTATGGTAGGATTCAGCAGCATAACAACTCCTATGGCCACCTCCCACTACTAGCGTCGGGTCAAACTGGCATGGTTGGAATCAATGGCGTTGGAGGATTTAGTAACCAGCCCTTGCAAAGAGGGCCACAAGAAACCTCACAGATATTTGACACTAGTGTTACAGGTAACTCAGCAATGAATGACATGGAAATGTTTACAGGTGTGTTCATGAGTAACGACCAAAATCCAGGGTTCATAAGAAATATGGAACAGGAGGTTAGTGGCGGTTCTAGTTTGATACACGGAAGAAATACATTAATGGAGCGGAATCCAACAGGACCTTCAAGGTTTGCTGGTACGTATATTGAAGGTGGTGATATGATGAATCGTGATTTCATGGGGGTTGGAGAAGCAAGGCCAGCAAATTTTCATGATCAACGACAGCAGCACCGACAGAGATTGGAAATGGAAGGGATGAGCCAGCAGCAAAGAATGCCGATGATGAATCCCTTTCAACAACAGCCCTCACTTAGGGAATCAGCGATGGAAAAACCCTCTATATGGGATGTCTGACACTTACAATATATTAGCTTCTTCCGGCATCCATCATGGAGCTATTCGCCCATGGCTAATAGAAGGGTCTGTGGCCATGAAACGTTGAGGGAGGAAGAGTATAAATGGGCTTTGAAAGGCTCCACATTCATTTTAGTGGACGTGGTTTCGGGCCTCTGTTTAGAATTCATAGGCCACTGGTGCATAATTAATTACAAATATGCTAAGTTATCATTAAGTCTTATGTGTCTTTTTTTCAGCCGCAAATGTTGAAATCCCAGCTTGACCCAAAACCAAAGCTAAAACTGGGCTTAGTGGTCCGATAACGGGCTGGTCCCTAAATTATTTATGGTACTGGAAGCCCATTAACTCAAGCGATAAACCCTAACCCTAACCTGAAGCTCGAGCGCCGCTTCTGAGAGAGGCTCTCTCTCTCTCTCTCTCTCTCTCTCTCTCTCTATATATATATATATATAGATGAGCAGCAAGGCAGGTTTGAGTGATATCGCTAGCTTCCCTCTCTCTCTCTTAATGTTTCTTCGCATGCAATTGATTTGTGTTTTGTGTTTTGTGTTTAGTATTTGGATGAGGAAGAGCATGTAGGGGTCAGTGATGATGAGAACTACCTATTTTATGATCTTCTTGTGATTATAAAACACCAATGGATCCTTCTGAGACCTCTACTCTTCTTCTTTCTTCTCATTCGCTACAATTTCTTGGTTATAATTCCTCTTTTTTTTGTAATAAAACAAAAAATGGTAGAGAGCCATCGATGTGATGATATCCTTGACGGAATTATAAGATGTCGAATAAAAATTTCAGACTACAATTATCTGATCGCTGGCTCTCAGATCTATTCATCTCATTTTCTCTCTTTTTTTCAAAAAAAAAAAAACATTTATATTTCTATTCTATGTTTAGTCAAGAAGATTTTAGGTCCTTGAAAGAGGGAAAGGAAGTGAAAGTAATTCTCTCTTAAATTAGGAGGAAATAATAAAAATGTCTTTTTTTTGTTTCTCATTTTATTTTCGTAATTTTCCTTCGCATTTTATTTGTATTTTTTAATTATTATTTATATATAATATCCATTCGATTCCAGACTAGGATCAATGATGGGATGGCAATTTAAGGGTTAATCTTCTGATTACAAGAGATAAAAGTTCATTAAAAATGATGCTTAACCTAAACCTAGGAATTCAAATGCTGAATGCCTTAACAACCCAAGAAATTTTGAATATCAATTATTATCCTAACTCGTTATTTTTAATGGAATGATTAATTAATCTTCAGTTTATTGAAAATATATTAAAATGATAATTTTTTTTTAAATTTTTTTTTATTTTAGAAAATATATTAAAATGATAATTTTTTTTAAATTTTTTTTATATTATATTAAAAAATATTAAAAAAATAATTTAAAGTTAAAAAAATATAAATTAATTTAAATCTAAAAAAAATAGTCTTAAAACATACGGAAGCGAGGGGAAGTGCGATTATTCAGAGTCTTGAGATGTGGAATTTTCTTCCGGCATGTTGATTTCATAAGTTAAAAGAATACTGGAAAATCAATAAAAATTAAATTAGATTAAATAAAACAAGTAATAAAATTGAAAATAATTACATATAAAACTAAAAAAATTCAAATGAATAAAATAAAATAAAAAAATCCAAACATGCGAGCCTCAGCCTCAGCCAAAAAGACCTAGATGCACAAGGTCCTCCAGCTTAGGTTTGCACGTGATATTTCAAATAATTACATATGAATTTAACATGTGTAATTTTCTAAAACCTTTACTTGTGAATATTAATGAAATATTTATTTTTTTATTTTTTATATAATTTTTTCTGAAATTATTATTCTCAAATTTCTTAATACATGATTTTTTTTATTAAAGCTTGCTTTCGAGATTATGATAAGTTTTAATTTAATAAACAATCCTTCTAATAAAAAAGACATATTCTTGACCAAAAAAAAGTAATGCATGAATAAGGGAATGGGGTTTTGATTACATAGATATATTTTTCTCCTTAAATTAATGCAAAAAACCAAATACCTAAAAAACAGATGTTTTTGGTTAAGAAAAAATACATTAATAAGAAAAGGAGAATTTAGAGTAAAAAATCATATTTTCTACATAATCTAAATCATTAATTTTCTTACAAAAATTCATTTTTATTGACATATAATTAAATTAAAAAATTAATATTTTTCAAATTATTTTATTAAACATGCATCATCTTTTTAAAAATAATTCGCAATGTGAATACTTGGCTAATAATAAGTGCAAAGAAGGAAGAAGGATTTGGAATAGAAAATTCAATGGAGAAATAATAATAATATGAATATTGTTAGTTTTATTTCAATGTTCCTTTATTTTTTATTTTTTGTAAGGTTAAAAGTTGGATTGTAAGAAAATGTATAAAATCAACTGGTTTGGAACTAAATTGATGTTAAGAGTAACATGTCAGGGTCGGAATTGAGATTTTCCTCTCTTTTTATAAACTTCATTTCAATCACATATCATATTTCCTGTTTGTCTCTGAAGGCACGCCAAGCTAAATTTCGATTCAACGATTCATTCAAATGTATATTATTATTATTATTATTATTAAAATCGTCCTTGTTTATATTATCATATTAAAGAAAGGAAGAACTGCAGCTTAGTCAAAGTATCACACGCTTACAGTCAAGATTTAGTATCGAGTTACCAAGTATCTAAACAATTGCATTTGCTGTTAGAATTTGCACCGGCTCATCACAACTTCACACCCTATATTAGCTTGTAAATCTCCGTCGTTACATTCACTCTGGACAACGCGTCCATGATCGGCAAAATCATGAAAGGAGCATTCATTCACTCAGTGCCGTCTTCTGTTTCCATTCCGGTTACGGTCCCTGTACCCAGAAGAATTCCGTTGCCTGGACCTATTATCGGGCAGGTAGTCCCATCCGGAATTCGTCCTGGCTCCTGAATAGTTTCTCCCTGACATGTACTCTTGTGATTCAAAACGGCTGTTCTCCGGACTCCAAGACTCAAAACCCTCATCACCCAAATATTCATTTCTTTCCCGAGGAGGACCTGACCGCATCTGTGGCTGCACAGGCCCTCCGTTTGGGGGCACATAGTTATTTTGATTAACATGAGATGGGGAGTTTGATACTAAACTCTGCCTAACTCTCCAGGAATCACGCATTGGACCTACATCAACAGCATGTGGCCACGACGAGTATACAGTGGGAGGTTCGTTTATATGTGACTGTAACTGTGTTGGTGCTGGTACTGCGGATGTTGATCGTGGAAATGGAACTGGCCATCTCTCTGGTGGATTGGATGTGAGAGAAATGGATGGAGCTGGTTTTAAGTTGTTCATGGTTTCAACCCACATTGAAGGCCCAATTGCATCTGAAGGGTTCGGTAGGGAAGGGGTATTGACGGGTAAATTTTTCATGGTAAAAACAATTTCTGAGGATGGCGTATGTAACATTGAAGAATTGGTGGGATAACTCTGTTGGGATTGGAGAACCATCGGAGGTTGTCGGTTTTCAGGTACTATGATGCTTGTTTGAGACAATGAGAAAGGATGGTGTTGGGATAGTAATGGTATGCTTGCTTGCTGCTGTGGTGTTCTGATGTTAGTGGCTTGATTTTGAGGCTGCACCAAGCTTGTGTTCTCGGCTAGAGGAACAACGGTGGGGACTCCGGGGTCAGTGTATGCAACTCTTTTCCCCGATGAAGCCTTCTGGGAAAATGGATTCTTGGCAACTTCTGATCTCCATCCACTCTGCGTATTTTACAATGTTACCAAATAGAATATTAGCATATGCTCATTGTAACCAAGGAAGAATCCTGTAACAAACACATACCATTTTATTTTTCTGTGATGTTATTTTTAGTTCCAATGACAACACCTATGATGGGGCCCACTACTTTTTGAGTCAAGAGCACAATTTTCACAGAAGCATGCATGGGACACATCAATCCACCATTCCCAGCTTATGGAAGATACGATCAATCAGTGGAGAGACAATGGCCAAAAAATGCTTCAACCATATATCTTCCGAACTTTGATGGCAATTTTAATAGGCGAGGCTGAAAGAACTATATGACCCATTTCTAGACTGCTTAAAGCATCCAAGCAACTCCCATGGTCAAATCCCAAGTCCCACAACAGGTTGCATTACATCTCTAATTGCTCAAAAGTTCATATTACCTTTCATTTTAGTTCGGCTTACATAAACAATGTTGGGCTTTGTGCAACCCAGATTTTAATGTATGCTTCCCCGTGAGATTATATACTTACTAAATTGTAGGAGCAAATTGCTCTACCCATAGGAAGTTGACAACAGTTTAATGATTTGTAGCATAATTTGCAATATTGGCCTAAATCACGCACCGTTCCAGGATTGCTTGACGGAGTTGGTGATGGAAGAGAAACTTCAACCTCCTCTACTTTCCCACCAAGCCCGTTTAAACTACCTGCCAAACCAGTCCCTCCAGCCTTTATCATATCAAGCAGCTTCACGGTTTCCTCACTTGATAAATTACCGGCATGGCCAGAAGTCAACGCAAAAACCAATTCTGGGTTTTTTAGCAATACAGCAAGCAACTCCAGATCTGGTTCAGTTGCACTCCCTCCACCAACCTGAGGCAGGGAAGGTGCTGGTGATGGTGCAACTACTGTGTTTACATGTTCAGTCAGGGAAACCTGTATTTCTGCACCATCAGCATCAGGTGCCTGTTCAATTGGAATTTCTGGGGTCAATGTGTCATCATAGTCCATATCGAGGTCCCATGGTTCCTTGGGGTTAGATGGTAACTCCTGGACTGTCTGGTAGATGGTTTCTACCTCCCTACGGTTTCTGTTTTTCTGAACATCAACTTCTTTTCCATTTTCACCAGTGCCCACTCTCCAGAGAACGTTGAGTTTTATTTCTGCAGAAAAGATAAGTGCATAAAAGGATGAAAAACCAAAGAATGTGCATTGAGTTAATAAGAAAAACCAAAGGAAAACTGGATTGGAAGAGAAAAGCCTAAACAAAATCAAATAATTATGCACATTTACAACCAGCTAGCAGTTTTTAACTCCGCTGGGTGACAACCCATGAAAAGTTGAAGAAAGCATTTTGGTTTTGAGAGGAATAGGAAAGACAAATGCAAGTGAAGGAGCTCAGTCACCATCAATCTGCAAAGAGAATGTCGGCCTCTCTCAGCTTAGCTAACCACTAAATCTGGCCAAATTCCAGTAGTGCATAAGCTGATTATCCACTAATGTGAAACTGATTCTCTATTTATAGTTTCATAGATCTACAAATTTGCAACAACATTTTCTCTGCATTGAGTACAGCATCCAGATGTTTGGGCCTCATGCTGATACTATACAGTCCCCGATCCGGAATTGATAAAGCACTGTGAAACTCTCTTCACTCATAATTTTGTGCATGATATGTGTTCAATTCCAAGATGGGAAATGAAAAACTTTCAGGTTGTATAGCAAACTCATTGGCAAATAAAAAACACCATATGGTAGAAAATTTCACCATTACATTTCATGCGTTCAACATAATTGTATAAAGATGGTCCTCATGATGTAATCCAACAAACCATATTCAGGAGTTTCCAGGTTTGAAATAACTGATGTGATTTGATACCATATGGTAAGAACCATAATTGGGAAAGAATTAAAAATCAATCTGTACAAGTGCTAAAATAGATAATCCATGTCCACAATGCATATGAGCAATCTTCAGGCATTTACTGCATCAAGTTATGAGGCTATTGTCACTTGCTAACGACCAATGCTATAAAATCTAGTTGGAAGCATAAACTTCACCATATAAAGTAATTTGCATTATTATGACATTATGCCAAATTTTCACAACATTAACAGTTGCAATGCTACATTTTTTCCTGTTGATAAGTTAGTATTAAGCAAATTAATAGCTTGAAAAAAGTTTTTAATTCAAGCCCCCACAACTACAATAATAGTCTTTATCAACAGACCAGTTAGAATCTTCAATGCACATCAGCAAATGTTGTATTTGTAAAGGCTATCCACTTGCTGTATTAGACAGCCAATCCAAATGCTAAAATCATTGCGATATAATGGCAGGGAAACAAGGTATGGCAATTGAATGGAAGGAGTCATGCGAGAAATTGAATATCAACATAGATTCAAAAGCATTAAACTGAAAATTTTTAAACACCTGTATATTATCTATTCTACACATTGTTATACAGTGTAAAAAGATGCCGCACTTTATCCACAAAGCATCTACTCATCTGCAGTAATATAATAACTATCAAAAGTTAAAAGTAACCAACAAAGAAACACCAAAAGCATGTGTACCTGGAGGAGTCTTCCATGGGATCTTGACTTCACTACAAACTCCCCCCATGGGTTCCTTTGAATCAATTTCTTTCTTTGGATTGAGCGACCCCTCAACCTTACAAGAAACTTTCAGGGAAGGTATCACAGGTTTCTTGTATTCCTCAATCTTTGGCCAAATATGAATTTTAGAAACTAGAGACAAACTTGCAGACATGCTTGAAGGTCCATTTTTCACACCAGTATTTCCATTAGATGAAAGAACTGTTTTCCCATGCTTGTTCTGCATGAATAAAGCGCGCATTTTTGCTTTTTGGATATCATCAGCAGACATTGGGCGACCTGTACTAACAGGAGCAGCTTTGGTGGCCTGAGGGCTTCTGCCAGCTGTTTTCTGGCCAGGCTGTTCCACAAGCTGAACTTTTCTACGTTCTCTTGTATCTGTTACTAGCTAAGGAAGGTACTTATATGTTTTTCCTGAAAGAGAAACAAGATAACTACAAATGCACATTCATCATTGAGGTGCTTCAGTAGTCAATGAGAGGATGAATTATTTCCATTTCCAAGAAAAAAAATGTCTTAATTAGGAACTTTAATTTTTTAATGCCAGACTGAAAATGCAAAAAGATACACTTGATAACTAACAAGTCTGAGACCAATTTTGAAAACAAATAGAACTACAATCAAAAGTGCTCTTGCACTTCAAGCATTATATTTGCGATGAGGTAAAATTAATCAGTAAAAATGACTGAGCACAGATCACAACTTTATTAACCATTCAACCAGAATTCCAAAAAAAATCTGTAACCAGTGCAACCAACAATATTTCTAATGTTATGCATGCAAATGGATTGCTGAATGGGGTTTCTCCTCAATAAACTGACCAGAAGCCACCAACAAAACCATGGGCCACAGATATAGAAACAAAAACGTTCAAATTGAAAGCACTGACATTCTACTGCCATATTTATACCTTATAATTTGATAATAAACACAAGCTGTCAATTAATAGCCATCACAAATTGAAACATTTTGAGATAGTCAGTCAGGTTAATGTTGTTCATTCATTACTTACAAGTACAGAGGTGGTGAGAGAATTTGCAGTATAACTTTTAAGTGAGGTTTAACAAAACAAACTGCAAGGTAATCAAACCTGAAATAGCCACAAACATCACCATCACCAAGGAACACCTTAATTTCATTTTTATACTCAGCTAGATTATAGCATATTTTTCCCCACGAGTTGAAATTTGATTGATTGACACCAAACTCGAGAAAATGTGGGTGAAGTCAATTGTTGCAGTTAAAGAGGCTACTAGAAAGGAACTAAATTGCACTTTTTAAGAATACAAGTATGTAATCAAATGTTTTGAAAAAAAAACCCCCTGCATGTGCTGGTTTTGTTTGCCAGTTCACCACCAAATCACCCTGACATTAGCCAGAAGGCTGGTGTTGAGGCTGCTGTAATTTTTCAAAATAAGTTCATTTCAGCTATTGATTTGAGAAAAATTGACCAACATTTAGTCAATTTGGTGTCGATCAACCAACTTTGAAACACGGGTAAGCCAGTCATTTGCTACAAGCAGTGGGGAAAAAAGGTGGTTTTGCCAATTAAAATTCTACCAAAGGCAACCAGATAAGCTTATCCTAGTAACTAAACTCAACTTCCGGTGTAATATTAAATGATTTCTTACTGCACATCATATCATTTAACTACTACAATAGAAACATATTATCAAAAAAGCGTAAAGCTTATCAATCACTATAGTTGATTTGGACTCCTTTCCTGGTAAAGAAAAAACCAAAATCCAGAACAACCAACCCAGTACAAGCGCCAACTCTGAGGAGAGCCATTATTAAAACATAGTAGATAACTATCAACTAAAAAATAATACAAGTCAATGGTTTAGAACTGCTCTCACTATTATAGTCACTGTAACAGCTAGCGTAGGGGAAGAGAGTAGCATCTCTCAGTTCTTGCCATCCAAGTTCCTTAGGCTAAGCCTTTAAACCATAAGACTATCAGGAAAACATATTTGACCTAATGGTGAACACTTTGACTAGGCATATCCCAGACCATTGCCTATATCATAAAGGATGCAGTAAACATATCAGGACTTTTCAGTTAAAAATACAGCTACAACTTCACTGTATAAAATAAGCATGCACCAAGAGATGGGTGTAACTATATGAAGTAAATAAAAGCTTCATCCCTTAACCAAGGAAATGTTAATTCTATCAATTTTCCTTCAAATGCCAGCCAAGTTGTAAGGCACCACTTAAAAAAAATTGAGGATACGGGATGAAGGTGCACCTAGGATGTGCTTTCTGCTCAGATCATCTGTTGACGCTGACAACAGCTTCAATGCTTGTGAAGACTTGATTTTCCTAAAAACAAAGAAATTTATGCTGAATACCCAACCAAACACCAATAACATTCCCAACAGGCTGATTGTAAGTCAAACCAAAAATCATATCAATACCTGATATTTTCTGAACTTTCCAATGAGAGCGCAGGAACACCATCCTGTGCAGAAATAAAAGCTGTTAGAAAACGTCCTATAGCATCAGTCCACTTTTGACCATGTAACTGACAGTGCATAGAACTTACAGGATTACCGATATCAGACTGCCATAATTCATTGCCCATAATTTCATCAATGCTGCACGAAATTAGTGCCAAAAGGTGAGACTTGATTGAACAAATCTTAAGATCATAGGAGGTAATCTCATGAACTTGCCTCTGCTTCAAAATCATGTCTTGTGCGTCTGTAGAGAAGTTTACGCCATAGGATTTTTTCATTGCTTGACTTTTTGCAAACATTTTGCTCCATCTTGATAACAAAACCCTGGCCCTGTTTGATATGTCTGATCTTCAAATCAGATATATGAGATTCAAAATTATCACAAGGCACATAATGAAAAGAAGCACATTAATGTGTCTCATATCATATAATTCACAACTTGAAAGGATATCATCAAGACAAAGAACTAATAGCTATGATGAACTATAAGAAAATTTTTAATATTTCCATGTACATACAGCAACTAATTCCTCAATTTTGCTTATTTGTCTGACAATGACAGAAGCAATCTGTGGTCAATGATGACCAAGCAGAAGAACCATTGAATTGGTTTACAAAAAATAAAAATAAAAATAAAAAACAAATATAAGAGAACACCATATTAGTTTCAATATTTTTATATGAAATCAAAACAAACTGATATGAACTTCATTATTCATAACAAGGAAACAAAAATTCCAGAAACTATCCTCCTGAAGCAATGAGAACAATTAGAAACATTACCAATAGCCCATGGAGTTCATTTATCAATTAATAATTAGGAAATGACATCTGTGTGAGATGCAAGAAGCAGGATATAGGGAGGTCAAAAGGCAGGAGTTAACAAAAGCACACCTGAAGTCCTGTAAAACCGCAGTCTATTAACACCACGAAGTATGGCTGACATGTGTTCAGGAGGAGCTTTATGTAGGGGCAAATGACAGAAGACCTGAATACACCATAGATGCAATGCTAAGCATGTTTATGAAGCAAAAATGTTGCAAGGAAGACAATAAAATTTTATAACTACATTCAAGGTGACAATAAGAACGCTTGTTTGTTCTTCAGCAGCAGCTTGACTTAACCATGTTACCAAAATCATGACACCACCATTAATTAGAAACCTGGGAACATGCATGGAAAATATTAAATGCAAACGGAGAAAAAAAACACATCTTATTAAATATAATAGTGAGTTGAAAAGTACCAATTTAGAACAGAGAGAGTATGTATTTGCAAGATCCATTCCATGAGCTTCACCTGCCCAGTAAATGTTTCTTCTTTCCGCAACAAACCAAAAATATTATCAACAAAATGTTTGTCTAATTCATCTAAACCAGGTAGCATGTCGTCCTGTGTTGAGCAAAAGGGGGCTTCATCAACTCTGGAAGGACCGGTAGAGTTTAAGGGAACAGGATCGTGGGCAACTGAGTCTAAGGGAACTGGATACAGAATTGCAGGGTTTAAGGGAACTGGATTTGGACTTACAGAAATTAAGGGAACTGGATTGGGGCTAACAGATTCCAAGTGAAATGGATTGGGGCTCACAGAGTTTAAGGGAGCTGAAATGGAGCTAACAGAATTTAAGGGAACAGAATTGGGGCCAACAGAGTTCAAGTGAATTGGATTAGGGCTAACAGGGTTTAACACAGCTGGATTGGAGCAAACATAACTTAGGGGAACTTGATTGGGGTCAACAGAGTTCAAAGGAACCAAATCAATAGGCATCAAAGCATCCAATGTCATTAGGACCCCATTTTGAGGTTCCTTGTGTGCATTAACTCTAATAGCCTTCTCCATTGAAAACCAAATCAGTTTTCTCACTCTCGTACGTTGGCTGGCAAAAAAATCCCGAACCTATAGATGAGGCAACACCATGTCATGATCCATAACAGATACACATCCATCAAGTCTATAAAAAGCCCTTATCTTCTCAGGCAATGCACTCTTTGAATGGTACATGATTCATAGAGAATCAATCTTTTGTTTAGATGTAGACTATATAACTTAAAAGTAAGTTAGGATCAAACATGAACAGATTGCATAAAAGCAATCAATATAACTGCATGTGTGTCTCTAAATCCATGTAAATACATGCAAGAGTAATGAAAAACAATGTTGGTAAAGCGTTAATGTATGGATTTCGTACAAAACCAAACTTAAACATGAAGGAAGGGAAAAATCACCTGCGTGACTGTAGCACCAAATTGAACACTAATCTCTCGTGATTCCTTCTTACTAAATGCATCTTTAATAGAGAAAACTTCTTGCATATACTTGACCGCCTTAGGGTTTATCAAATCTCGAGGTCTTTTCCCTGCCAAATCGACTAGTAATGTTAGCAGTGACCGAAAACAACCAAATTTACAAGAATTTTGATTATTATCAAGAGACAAGCATAATAATGGAACAATGGAATCATATACATATAGTATATCATAAAAAAGGGGCAAAAGCCCCAAAAACTCACCGATTTTTATCGAAAGAGCACCAGCTGCCTGCGAATGATTTCATAAAAGTTAGTTATGGCTAGGGAAAGAAAGCCAGAAAAAGTTACAAATTACTAAAAAAATGGGAAAAAGACGCGCCATTTCTTGAGAAAGAGGATTGACACCAGTGAGCTTGCATTGAGTGACGACAATTCTTCGAAGATGATCGATTTGGTTGTGGAAAACCTCTCTCTGCGAATCCAAAAACTTTTGAAAGGTCTCGACAGAGCTCCCAATCTCTGTCTCTGTCAAATCCTCCATTGTCAAATTGGTAAGCTGGAGTCTTAATTTTCGAAGTAGCTGCACAACTACGCATTACACTACGGTTACAGTGTGAAGATTTGTGTGATTTCTAAAAAAAAAAATAACAGAAAGGCTTGCGTTAGGGTTAGGGTTAGTGTTACTAGATTAAGGGGAGAAGGGGGGGCATGCGTGGGTTTGGGAATACTGGAATAGGTAGCTGCGAACAAAGGAGCAGGGGACCCAAAATAACACGTGAGAAAAAAAATAAATTAAACTTACAAACCACAAGCACAATTCTGCTGGCGCGCGCGCTTTTAAATACAGTAGATGTTTTGTTTATAAATACAGTAGGCTAATGGTATTTCGGGTTGTTTATAAATACAGTAGATGTTTTTAAAGTGTTTTTTTTTAATATATATTAAAATAATAGTTTTTATTTTTAATATTAGTATATTAAAATAATTTTAAAATGCATAAAAAATTAAAGTAAAAAAATAATTTTTTTAAAAGTATTTTTAAAATACAAAAATAAACAGAATTTATGATATTTTAAAACAAATATAAATATGATTTTTAAAAATTTGTTTGGTGTTGTGTAAACAATTATTTTTAAAATATTTTTTATTTTAAAATATATAAAAAAAAAATTTGTTGTTTTTCAAATTTATTTTCAAAATAGTTTTTTAAAGTTTTTTTAAATATTCTCCAACTATAAAGTGTTAAAATTTTTACTAATGATAGGATGTGAAGGATTGAGTTTCAAGTCACGGTATTATTTTGTTCTGTGGTAGATTTTTTTATAAAAAAAATATTAAAATAATTTATTTTTAAAAAAAAAAAACATCTCTAAAACAAGCCTACCAAGCCAATTCAACATCTTGCCACAAATTTATTCACTGGTTCTTTGGAACGCAAAATTCCTGTGTAAATTATTTATTTTTATCCTTGTATTTTTAATCAATCAACGCTCATGTTCTTTGAATTTGTTAAATTAAATCTTCTTTTCTATTTTTTTTTCCCTTTCAAATCTCAATATTAACTATACATATATATTATTAAATATTTTTCACATGACCTTCCTTTTTATGCTCGTATAGGATTTTTATCACCCAGTAAAATTGTCTTATTAAATACATTAAAAATAGATAGATGATGAATTCTACATGTTTAAAGTTAAATAAATCTAAATAATAAGGCATATGATAAATGAAAATATCTAATAACGCTACATATTATTAGCATACATTGAAACCTGATAGAAATTAGTCATTAATTGAGCAATTTTACAGAGAAGATAAAAAATTATTTAAACAAATTAAAAACACAAGTATAAAAATGAATAATTAACACATATGATGGATAAATTTATGGTATATGCCTAAGTCAAATATTCATTGTGATTTTTTTTTTTCTAAAAGAAAATGATAAATATTCACGTATCTACATTTGCCTCCTGCGTGGCTTCGACTCTGTTCTACAGAAGGGAGTGAGTTTATCCAATATTTTAAAGATCAGCATAAACATGCACGCATCTACGCGTAGCAGCCGCTACAAAGGAAAGAGGGGGAGAGAGAGAGAGACAGAGGTGATCACACACTAGAACAATGAACAATCCAACTAATGTTTACAGCTATTGTCAACCCACAAACCTTACAGGGCACAACCTCGTCTCATGCAACAGTTATGTTATTTTTCCACCATTAACTCTCCAACTTCTACCTAATATCTCTCTATTAACAAAAGGGAAAAAAATGGTTCAAACTGCAATTACAGAAGCTCAAGAGGGTAACCTGCAAAAACGAAGAAAAAATAGAATAAAAATTGATGATTGAGACGAACGGAAAACAAAATTCTGCTCATTGAATGGGAGGGGAAAATAAAAGATGAAGGAAAAGAGTAGGATAGCCAACCTGAGAATGCCCTGTCATCTTTACAAGGTGCTTGGACCGAAGAAAGAGTGGTCTCTGACGGTCAAATTGAGACCATGATGTTAGCGGCGCATATATTACAATTTTTCCTCAAAATGTCTTCCAATGAGTTGTAAATAGCAAATTAACACGATGGCAAAACGAGAACTCCATCCAGGAAAAATAAAAAACAATCTCCATAAAAATGGGATCCTCTGGTTTTCAGAATTCTACAATCCCACGTAAATTATAGTCGGGGATCTCTACCCTTATCCATTATTTCTCAAAGCACAACCATTTTGGACCATAAAACTTCCTTATTTCTACAGTCTCCAAATTCTCTCTTCTGCAGAAGTCTCGTGAATCGATAGTCCTCGGTAACACTCTTGAAATGGCTCAAGTGAGGTCATTGTCTGCATCAGAGGGCAGCTGAAGTATGATTAAAATGAATATACTCAAAAGTCCAAAATTATCCTGTAGTATACACATGTACAATGAGCACCAAGATGGCATCTTGCTGATAACTGATCCCTCAAAAGACATATCAACCACCGCAACAGAGAGATCAGGGTGCCTTCTATCGTTACCTAAAAGGCCAAACCCCAAGAACACAGCAACCAATCAAAAATTCCTCCAAGGTTGTTATCATCTCCACCACAACCAGACACATTAGCGGCTAATAGCTTCAATTGCAAGCCGCACCAAACGTAGCAGTCCCTCCACATCTTGGAAGTTAAAATCAAGAGCTGTTTTAATGGAAGAAATGCCCTCTCCACATCGGGCTTCTCCCAGGCTGACATTAGCTGCCGCGAAAGCAAGGCGTGACTTTCTAGAGGCTTCCATTGCAGAATTTACATCCTGTGCCTGCAAAATTACATTTAATGACGCTACCATTCCAAACCATCACACATGGATGTAAAGTTGTGAATCAAATAATGGAGCACCAGCTGCTGTAATATGTGAAAGCAGAGCTTCATGGGTTGATTAACTCAAACACCGACACCGATGAGTTACAATTTCATGGCCTATGGTGCATAGGAGAATAAAAGGGATGCTCTTGTATCGGAAAGGAAACACTGATCAATATACATTTTTCCCAACCAAACTTTTTGCAGGTTGTCACCAAAACATGTTCCTTGGCCAATATCTTTATATTCCAATGCTCAAAGTTATGTTCTAAAGTGAATTCTTCAACGAGAAAATCAAACGACAAGTTGAGCGTTTTCAAAAACAAAATCTGAATATACTTACAAATCTGAGCAATCGTGCGAAGTTGGGACGATTCCGAGCAGCAATAATGTGACTTCCAGCTACTTGAGGGGAGCTTACGCCTTTGGTTAAGGGAACCTTGTCTGCTATTGTTGTGTGGTTCAGGTTATCAATATCAGAGGCAGAAGAAGAAGGTGATTCACCTATAAATTATGAAACAAGTGTGGCATCAAAGCAATTCATAAGCACCCATCGAATGGCCACATTAAGCATTAGGAAAAGCTAAAAGCCCAAAGAGTGACAAAATGTTTACACGACAAATGAAATAAGAGAAATTTAGGTGAAGCACCCGAGGATACAATATTCATACATGACAACATATATCAATGCAAAAGCATAAATTAAGCAGACATAAAACTTGGACACCCTTTCTTAAGAATCAAATGATTCCTTTGAGACTTAGTGCGGAAACTGAGAGCTAAATATATTGATGCATCGAACAAGTGACAGAAATGCCATCCATGTGTCTCTGGCAACATATTTAACAGCCCACCCCCACTCAACAGGAACACTAGAGAAATGAAAATGAATTTACTTGGATTGTTTTGGCAACACTGGAACCATGTTCGAAAATTATCAGAAGTGTATGCTATTCTTGTGTAAGAAATCCAAGAGGTCTGGTTCCAATCAGTGTCATACTTAAGATGAACAGTTTCCCAGCCTATGATAAACTAGAAGCTCTTGTATGAAGTGCCAGGTGGTTTGTCACCTAATAAATTTTGAAAAGCCAAACACAAGTCCAAGTAAAACAGTGACTAATTGTCATGTGATAGTCACACAAGATTAAAGTAGCAGCAGGATTTATATATATGTACACGGGCGCGCGCGCGCGCGCGCACATAAATATCAGGAGAAAGAACTCTAATTTAGTGTAAGATTAAAGTAGAGATCATGGCTTGCTTCTAATTACCTGGAGGAATAATTTGTAAAGCCATCTGCAACTCATGACGATCTCTGTTTGCAGTGGTATGTGAGGAATAAATTGCCCTCATGTATGCAACCTCCATGCATTTGTAGGCCAGAGCAGCAGCAGCCATGTCTTTGGATTTCTCATATTCGTGAGCACAAAACCTAAAAACATCAAGAGGTTCAGCAAAGGAACGCAGCAGGAACTCATTTTTTCCCATCAGAAATGAAATCATCAACGGAAAATGCAATAACAAAAGTCACAAAAACTCCTGGAAGAGATATATGCAGGAAACTGAATTCAAGCTGGAAAATATGTTTGAGAAGTCAAAGAATAGACTAACAACCAAAATGGGACAGCTAAGTGCCATGGTTCGCATAGTATGACACAGATGCTATAGTCAAGTCATGAAAGTAATTCGATACAGTACCCTATAAGGAACAAATACAAAACACTAACGCAACAAATAAAAACAATTCCCATTCCAATTATTAAGTGGAAAGAGACTTCTGTAGTTAGAAAGGAAAGAAAAATGTCACACAAAAGGCCAAATTAACCTAAGTAGAGAGCTGTTTATAGTTGAATCCAAGCTGGAATATCAAAACCCAACATAATGAAAGTAAGCAAGACACACATTCAGGGCACCTGCATTTCCAGCATCTATGTGGCCAGTCCTAACTACTTAAACAACAAGAGTTTCCGTGTTGCAAGTTTAAACAGTTAAACAAACAAACAGAAAAGGCATGATTCCTTGGTTCTGAAAACACTTAAGCCCCCGCCCCGCCCCCCAAAAGAAACAAAAGGACGTCCTTTCATCAAGTCCTATACTCTGACTTACTCGCACAGTTTCGCAGTGCTGCTGTAAACTTGCATTGGCTCTCCATTTTTGGCACTCTCACCACTACAGATTTCCAACAGAGATGCTCCATGAAGAAACTTCAGAGCTGCCTCGAAGTAAAGCCTTGTACTCTCAAGATTTGACCCGGCATTCTGCAGAAGGTAGTCAACATTGGAAAAGGTTGCATATCAAAAAGAAGACAAATTCTTAAAAGATCAACAGTAAAAACCTTGACACGATCAGCCATGTGTTTCATATTTTTAGCTTCTTTCAAAGCATTGTTAGCAGCCTGACTCGAGGAATCCCTTTTAACTGAACTTGGACCATCAAGATCCCTGACCCTGTGCCCATGTGATGAGGCATTTCTGGAACTGCTATGATGATGATGATTCATCCCATTTGGATCATTGACCTTTCTACTCTGTTTCAACTCCTTCATTTCAGTATTTTCCCCAGCAGAGGCATTAATAACCAACATATTGGCACTGTTTCCTTGGTGAGATAAAGAATTTGGATGAGAGCTGCCAGCAAGTGTCTCATTTTGAGCTCCTCCAGAAGAAGGCAATGATTGTGTCGTCCCTCTATCAGAGACCTTTTCAATATCTATCAGCACACTCTGCTTTGGAGTAGAGACTGCATCATGGTTGCGAGTAGCGCCTACTTCAACATCCAAACCACTGGGTCCCCTGACATTTAACTGATTCACTCTTTTACTGTTATCACTCAACACTTGTCCTTGATAGTCCTTCTTGTCAACATATCTGTCCTCATTTTCCTCAGGTTTGATCCCTGACTTCACTTCAGTCTTGTTTTTGCAATTTGTCGGTTTTACATCATAGGAAGGTGCTTCTGCATTAAAGGAATTGGAAACCTTAACTTCATTTTCGAGCTCAGAATTAAAATTCCTAGTCTTGTCCTTAGACCGTGAGGAGGAACCCTTTCCGGACTTCCTTGGACGCGACCCATTCACAAGATGGTGATTTTCATTTTGTCTTTCATCGTCATGGCATGGATCCAAAGCTGCCGGTTTACTACGATGAGGAGTGTTTTGGCTTAGAAAATCTACATCATTTGAGAGGTGGCCATCTGCAATATCTGGAGAAGGAACAATATGCACTAGAGTTTTTGCCTTCCTTGCTGTCCCAGATTGATCATTCCCACCATCATCTTCCCCATCTGAAAATCTTCGTGGGCCACCTGGGGCAAAGAAACCAGCATCAACAGAAGCATCTTTTTTGGTGACATTCTTTCTTGCTGATGCAAGTTTTTCTGGTTTTGAAACTCTCATAGGTGATGATGAAACTGATTCTACAGGCGAGCCTTTTGCATCAGGAAAATTGGATTTGGTTTTATGGGAACCAGAAACTTTGGAAGAGCTAGAATTAGCTGCCACATGTAAAGATCCAGAATCCCTCTTCAAAGAATCCACACCATCCAAGCTCCGCTGAGATACGGTGCTCCCTAGGTCATGTCGTAGTTGCTGGTTCTTTCTATGACTACCTTTTTTGTCTGTTCTACCATTGCTTTTACTTCCACTAGCCTCCTTCCCTTCAGACCTGGATACTCTGGGCTTCTTAACCTTCCTGTAGTCAGTCTCACTGAACTCCTCCTTGGCCATGATATTACTATCCTGGTGGTGATGCCCTGTGTTTGGAAGGGAATCCTGATAGAGTTGAGCATCATGACTTTCCTTCACTTTCCTCTTTTTTGTATCTCTATCATCACAGTTCCCTATATCCACAAACCCATTATCCAAGGAAGCGCGGACATCCTCCTTTGGATTTTTAGCAGAAAGTTGAGCCCAGTCCTTCAGGTCATGCTTCATGTTCTTAGAAGTGCAATCATTGTATTTGGGCGGATTCTTCCCTGATGATGCCATAGCCAAACCATTGCTCGAAGGAGGACCCACCTTTTCAATTGCCCCACCATGATCAGACATCCAATCTTCTGGAAAACCTTCAGCTCTGATTTTCTTAGAAGCTCTAAAACAATCTTGATCAGGGTCCCTTTTGCCTTTCCCCTTTGATCGCTTCGAGCCACCACCTAGTGTTTGTTTTAGAAAAGAAGTAAGTTTTAAGCTTCAAGGAAAGGAAGTTTATGGCAGAAAAAGCTATTTTAAATCCAATACCTCGGTCAGAAAAGTTGTCCAGTCCTCTATGCTTATCTTTCGGCTTATGTTTGTGTTTCTCCACAGCTAAATTAGACTTGCTCGGTTTCAAAGAATCAGGTTCACTTACCACAAGAGCTGGTTTCACATCATTTAAGCCTCTATTTGTCACTGGCACATGTAAGCTTTTCTTTGTATGGTTTGACAACTGAATAGGTCCATCTTCTTTATACATCATATTTGATAACTCTTTTGAACCATGCTTTTTTCTTCCACTAGGAAGCGCAGCATGTGAACCAAAATTTTGGAGGCTCTGATCAGGATGCCAAACACCAGCCACAGTTTCTTTGGATATATCCCCACCAGAAGTGTTTTGTTTAAGAGACCGAGTTGCAAAGGTTGTTTCATCCTCACTAAAACTACACCGGTTCATACCAGGCCTAAGGCATTTATAATTTAAAAAACATCAGAGGAAAAGGAAGAGGCATTAAACCAACACATTTTATCTCTAACTACTTGAGGTAAGAGGTTATTTCATTTTAACAAGTGTAAAATATAAAACGGTACTTACAGCCAGTCAAGCATGCTACACAGCCACTTTTCAGGCAGGTCATCAGGATTTGTACGAGGTGGAAGAAGCCGCCATGTTTGACACTTATCACAACAGACCCAATTATCTTCAGCAGGAGCAGTATCAGTTATGGGCCCGTCCCCATTGTGCAAAGAACCAGTTGAAGCAGCTTTAGGAAATGCTTCAGATGTTAACAGGTTATCCACTTTCTTAGTGCTTGATCTTTCCTTGGACATGCTGTTAGTTCCATGTGTGCCCTTTTCAACCATTTCAAAGTCCTCCAGCCTATCCTCATAACTTTTTACCAATGTACTCATTCGGAATTCTTCTTGTTCTGGTTCCATGTCCCCAAAAAATTCTCTATATCTATCCCCAGCTTTTCCAGAATTCTTTTGTAATTTCAAGTCTTCCAACTCTACTTTAGTTGTATAATTGTCGGCATAACTGCTCTTCTTATTTTTTGGTGCCAAAGATGAGTTAAGCCTTAAACTCTCTTTTGGTGCCTCAGCAACTACAGTGCCATGACTTTGACTTCCCTTTAGTTTTTTTCTCCCCTCGGAAGAAGACTCCTTAGCATAAGGTAACTTCATACCTTCCTGTTCATACGACATAGCTTTCTCATCAGCATTCTGCTTGGCAGGTTCTGTTGGAGCCTGATATTTAGCCTTCCTCCCTTTTGAAACATTCGAGTCAATTTTGACTGATTCATGAGGCTTTTCTCCTTTGCGATGGCTGTCTTTCCTTGGGGAGACTGAATCACTGCCAAAACTAATAGGTTTTCTATCTTCCCAAACCTTTCCAGAGGACTTGGATTTGGGATTCTTGATCGACCCATTTTCTTGCACTGGTAATTCCTCTTTTGTTAGACTAGAAAAACCTTTGTCACTCATCACTCCCTTAGGCACGTTAGATGCCCTACCCATTCCCTTTGAAGTGCCAACAGAAGCAGAATATGAATTTGACAAAAGTGGAAGCTTTAAGGTATTAGAAACAAGCTCCTCACAAGCAAAGGTGTCAAGTTCTATCTCCTTCGATATAACACCAACACCAATCCCAGAATCCTTATTAATATCACTCTTTGATTCTGCTGAAAGTTCATTTCTCGCCATTGACTTTATTTTCGTCTCTCCAAACATTGTCCCATCACCTTTTACAGAGCTAGACCCATTCACTACAGTGCAAGAATTTTCAGGACCAAACCTTGGAACAGACGAGCATCCACTATCTTTAATTAATTTTTCCATCTCTTTCAGGTGGAGAAGATCATCAGGAAGAGGTGATAGCAGCAGAGCTCCAGGCACCGGAAAAGATGTCATTATCTGCTCAATCACAGAATAAAAAGAAACACATTCTCATCACTGCCAAGTCCCAACACAAAGTGGAGTTATACGTGACAGGTTAAAACTTGCAGGGAGACGACTTACCTGGAGAATATAATTAGGAGATTCCAGATGAGCATCTTGAGGATCGTGAGACATCCCTTCACTTTCAGAGGGGCTGTCATCCATTGAGGAAGATGGTGAGACATCAAGCCCAAGACCAGTGTAGATTGCATTTTTCTGTGTCAACAAGTTATCAGAACCAACTTTGATTCGAACTTTCAGCATCTTCTGTAAACTAGCAGATTTCCTGTTTACACATTCATCTCTAGGAACAAGTTCCTCGGCAAAATGAATGGATGGCACACATGCTTCTTGTTTAACCGACTCATTCAAGGAGGATGTTGTTTTCAATACTGTAGAAGAAGGCTCAAGTCTTAGTGATTGAGATGCAGTTGACGAAGATACAGAGCTCCAGCGGCCGCCCTGTTTTAAGAACAAATATTAAAATGTTCAAGATGGTAACTCCAAGGTAGACCAAGATTTAGTTAAAAGTTCCTTCTTTAAATCAATTATTAACAAGTGATGTGCTCGCTAATGAATATATATATATATATCTACCTCCAGTTGCAAATTGTTTGGGGATCTAGATGCATTGCGATGTTGAATTTTTGGTGAGGTCCTTGGGTGGGTCCAACCAGGAGACCGCTGATAGGTAGGTAAAAATGAACCATAACCACCATACTTGGCCCCTGTAGAAAAGTAAAAATCCAGATACAATAAATATCAAAATATGGACTTTATTAATGCAGTTGTTTTAGCTTATATTAACCACACTTCTGCAGTATGTTGACTTACCCAAGTTCTCTGCCGAAACTCCACCTTCAAAATCTTTTTGAAAGTGTCCCAAGACATCATGCAGTTTTTCATCCTTGAAAGAGATAAACAGAAGAAAGCAGTTGCAGATCAGGAAACAAGGAAAGTACAGATATAAACAGGTTTTGTACTGATGGAAATGCCAAAAATTGAAAGATGTGCAACCTTTGGAATAAAAAACAGTCCATACATCTCGCATTGTATACATAGATGCCACGAATTTCAACTAATTTTGCGAGGCAATTATGTAGCAGGAACCTAACATAAGTGAATTAAAAATGTTGACTCATGGTTCTAATCCAGATATGGAAACCTAGAATTCATGCATTCAAAATTTAGATGATCGGTTTCATGCCACTCAAATGTCAGGCTAAAGTTTCCAAAAGCTTCATTTTTTACACTTGCATGTATTTGCAGAGTCCATACAATCCCACGTAGCAGAATCATAACTGAGTACTGCTTTCCAATAACTGAACAAGCTCAACATATGTTTCATGTCTCCATAAAAATGAAGAGGCCAAAACACAAACATTTCTCCATTCACTTGGTAGATCAAAATAAGCCAAAACACCATGTCTATACATCTAAAGCCAACAAAACCTTAGCACTAAATGAAAACCTACTAATTTCATCTATATTTCTCTAACTAAACACAATCAAAACCCAGAGCAACTGTTTTTTCAAAGACCAGAAAGGACATATTAATCAGATAAAAACTACCATACTTAACACTGTAAACAGCCAGAATTAAGACTTAACATCAATTTTTGGATCTAAAGCATCGGAGAACAGCAACAAAATAAAGTCAACAGATGATATATATCACTAACAAAACCAAACCTTCACAAAATTAAAAAAAAAATATAAAATAAATCAAACTTGTTTTATTCTCACATATATATATGGAAGAGAAAAACTTACTATGTAAGAGAGAGCAATATCAGGGTCCATGCTCGCATCATAATCATCATCGTTGTTGTTGATATTATGGTATGAGCAGGCCTCCCCTTCTTCAAGCTCGGTATCTTCCATCTCTCTCTCACTGCCAAACCCTATCCCTAGGTCCTCTCTCCCATCTCTCCTCCCCAGAGAAATCATCAAACAGCAACAACAACAACAAAATGTAAAACTAAAATAAAATAATAATTTAAGCCCATGAATTCATAATTATCTCTCTACAATCCCAAACAAAAAAACAAAGCCAACCCATTTCACAAAACCGAAAACCCACCACGGATTTCCAGTGAATTGGACCCGATCACTAAATTCAAATCGGTACCAGCCGATGTTTGAATTTTATTGCCTTGAGAACTAATTACTTGTTAAAGTTCTAAACAAATGATCTCAATAATAACCAAAAAAAACAAAGAAATTGGATTGATTTATTGGGTATGGGTTCTCGCTTGGGTGCGATCTCTGTAGCTAGAATCAATTACCCAACACTTTCTCTCTCCCCCTCTCTGGTTTTTGGTGTATACAGCAGCCGCGTCTTTTCTTTGTTTCTTGTTTTTTTTTTTTATTCTTATTTTGTTTTAATTCGTTTTTTTATTTTGTTTTCGCATTAGAAGGAAATTGTTTGTTTATGTTATTTATTTATTTCGAAAAAGAGGAAGAAACAGAGCGATCTAACCACGGGAAGAGAAAAATAGAGACTAGTATTTAGTATTTACTCGACGTTATCGTTTTTACACAGAATCTCAATTTAGTCCCTAACCCATGTATTCATTTCCAGGAAGGTACTAGCTCTTTAAATTTAATTAGATTGGTTCCAAACGTTTCAAATTATTCTCAAATGAGGTCTCTCTATCAAAGTTGTATTTCAGTCCATTTTCTCTAAAATGGGCAAAATATATTTTTTTGAGTGTGAGAATTACTTTCAATCAAAATGGGCAAAATATATTTTTTTGAGTGAGAATTACTTTCAATCTCTATTTTTAAAAAATTTAATTTTTTTATTTTAAATTATTTTTTTATTATTTTTATATCATTGTGATATACTAATATCAAAAATAAAATTTAAAAAATAACAAAAAGTATTTTAATATTTTTTCAGAAAAACATTTTGAAGAATAATTACTAATACACTCTCAAACACCATCTTTATTTTATCTTACATGAATTTCATCAAATTATATTTATGATGTGAAATTCTTTACTCTTACTTGAAATAATAATTTTTAGTTTTGGCATGGCATTCTATGATTTTTATATTAATATTTTATTTATTAGTAATCAATACCTTGAGTTGGGTATTTTATTTCTTAAAAGTTTTTTTTTTCAATTCGTTCTTGTATTTAATAGTATGCAAGACATTACTTTATGTAAATCTAAATAATTATATTTCCAGTCATTTATTCATTATTCATTGATTTAAATTAATAAACTAATATTTTTTTATTCAAAATATTTTCATAAATAGCACCTTTGTATTTATTCATAAATATTAGTAAATAAAAAAATATTTATTATGTTTATATTTAATAACTAGAAACCTGCAAATACATGTGAAGTCACAATTGAGCTTGAAACACAACGTCAAAACGTTATGGACAATTTTGTTTTCTATTAATGCTCATAAATTCTTTCAAGTTGATGTTGTTTTGGTACATAAATATGCGCATCAAGCTTAAATATGTTATCATGTCCATTGACTTTTTCATTAATTTTTCTTCAAATCAATGGGTCCATGAAATATGAAATTAGACCTTTACCGTTGAAAGAAATAGATAAGAGGATGCGATTGAGAGATTAGGAAAAATCTTGGTGTGAGTTGATAAAGTTTATAGATTTGGGATGTAATTGAGAACGACTATATACGTCTAGGACTAAATTTAAATTATCCAATTTTATGTTTATATTTTGATCCCTGTAGTTTGTTTTTCTTACACCGAGCTTCCTTGTCTGAAATTTTATGTGGTCTTTGACTCAGTGTTAACCCACTTGCAGTAATAGCGCGTGCATACACGCGTTTGGTTCGTCTCCAGACAATTTCTAGCCAAGCCCTATCCATCTCAACTACCTTTAACTTAAATCCAGATTTGAGAAATTCGATTGTGTTGTTGTCTTACCTTTCTCGAATAAAATCTCCTAAAAAGAACTGGTCTGCTTTTCGGAGTTCTACTGTTTTTTTTTTTAACCCAGTCCTTTTATTGTTCAATTTTCTTTATTTTTTTATTTTTTTCATCATTTTAATTTTTTAAACCAATAATATGAGTTATTTTTAGATTGACAAGGTAGATTAGATCATTTTAAAATAATTTTCATATTATTTAATTTAAAACTTGAAGATAAATAAGAAGTGGAATTGAGAGGTTTTTTTATTAATTTTATTTTTTTAATTTTATCCTTAGGATTTTTTTACTAGTTAGTCAAATTATTTTTGAATCGATTAAATCTACTAGATCAAGGTAATTCTCACATAATTTAAATTTAAACTTAAATTAGGTAAAGTGTTGGGTATGAGGTTTTTATGTCAGTTTTATCCTTTATTTTTAAAATTTTATTCTCAAATTTTTTTATAAATTAATTGGGTTGCTTTTGAACCAACCAAATTAAAACAATTATAATAAGACAACTTTCACGTGATTTAATTTTAGACTTAAATTAAATAAAAAAATTGAATTATAAAATTTTAAGGTTGTTTCATTACGACAGTTTTAATAATAATATTGAATAGTTCTCTTAAAACAATTATAATAAGACAACTTTCACATGATTTAATTTTAGATTTAAATTAAATAAAAAAATTAAATTATAAAATTTTAAGGTTGATTCGTTACGACAGTTTTAATAATAATATTAAATAGTTCTGTATAGTCTCAATAATTTTTGTTACGTTAAAAAAAATTAATACAATCAACAGTATAGCGTGAATATATAATCTAGTTATAACTATAAAATGAAATATTATAATTTAATATATTTATTTTTTAATTTATAATATTTTTGATGCTTTTACTTGCCATTTATTAAAATATATATATCAGATAATTTTTAAATTAATAAAAAATATCAACTTGGAATTTTTATGATTTTAATTGTTAAAATAAAGCTAAAGCAAATTTACATATGTTATTGGGTTTTCGTTTATAATTTTGGACTGTTTTTTTATACCAAATAGATTTTCTCGTTGTATATGCAACTAAAAGTAAGAAAAAACTTATTTGGTCATATATATATATATATATATATAGGCTATATAATGAGAAGTAGAGTCCTCTAGTTTCTAAATTCCCTTCGAATCTATTTTAAAATGTAAATTTGAAAATTTTAAGTGAAATATCAATTATTAAGCATTGAGACGTGCCTTTGAAACCTCAAAGTAAATCCAACTTGTATATAATACAATACAAAACTTGCTAAGAAAATATTCCAATGTAATTTATGATAAAATAAAATCAATATAGAAAACTTACAAGGAAGATATTCCCATTTATTTTAAGAAATATATGTAACTTTGATGCATACAACCCGTAAAATGTTTTAAATAAAAGAAAATCGTATGCTATAGAACTTCGTCTGCATGAATTGTTAAGGTCTGGGATGGAAGTACAAAAACTTGACTCTCAAATGACTATTTTAAATAATATACCATATAAAAAAACAAAAAAGGAATTTATTTCCGTAAATCATTCCATTTTGCCTTGCCCAATTAAGATTTTTAAATCTTTGTTGATAAAGCATTCAAGTTGAAGGTGACGTTCAAATATAGTATCAAGAGGATCTGCATAAATATTAATAATAAAAACCCTAAACATGCAATCACTCATGAATGAACTATCTTTCCGACTAGTATTTTGTACTGTATATTATGTTTTTAAATAGTTTTGATTTGTTAAAGTTAAAAATAAATTTTTAAAAAAATATTATTTTAATATATTTTTAAATAAAAATTATTTTTAAAAATAACTACTATTATAATATCCTATAGTACATGTTTTTTACAATGCAGTGACATTTTTAAATAAAAATTAATTTTAAAAATCCTTTAGTCCATGTTTTTTACAATGCAGTGAGATTAGTCCGTGAACACAGAATTGCAACAATGAACACAGAATTGCATTTATATTGAATTGTAGAAGGATTCTATAAATATTTTAAATTCTTTTTTCGTATGCACAACAAATATTCAGTGTTCTCTTCTGATGAACTATAAGAAGTTTACAAGAACAACTTGACGGCACAGAACTTTTTTCTTTTCTGAAGGCCTTGAATTTCCAGGGGAAGCTATCCTGTTCCAAGCATAACAGGGCGAGTACACGTTAAGAAGGGATAAGTTTGCCTCGGATGATGCATCTCAACGCTTGATGGGACTTGCAACAGAGTTTTTAAAGGGCGCGTGAGCCTCTGCCCAATGAGGAAAGAGTGCTTGTCAGGTGGTGGAACCCATCATGTTAAAATCTTACCCTACATGAGTTTTCCTCGCCGTCTATTTCATTTCATGAATTTGGATTTTCCTTTTTCCTTTTTCCTTTTTCCTTTTCCCTTTTCTTTTCCCTTTAACTGCAACGAGCGTGTAATTTTTGGAATTTGACGAGTAGAAGTGAGTTACCCTGGTTGACCCAGATGAGAATATTTGGGGTTTTGGACTAATTTGCCCTCGTGGTTTAATTTTGGCGTGCTCGTCGCCGACCTCAAACCTGGGAAGCAAACAGTTCCTGTCATGTGGGGACAGCATTGGTTGGTTGGTTTTTAACATGCTTTACTTCCAATTTTTGTGCCCTCCTATCCAAATCTGCTGTGTCATGCCAGTTTTGCATCATTAATGGAGGAGTGCCCGATTCATTCTCAGGAGAAGAGAAACCTCAAATCACAGGATTTGTGGGATTCACATGCATCGTATTTCCAGGTTTTTTGAAAGTGAATTCAATAAAGCTATTCTGCGAGAGAGTAAGATCAATGCTACTCTTTCTTACAAGCTTCATCAACGAAAGATTATGCTAAATCAAAGAGAATTGAGCATGCTATAAACTATTATCATGAGAACTCATTCTTGAAAAAACAACATTAATCTTTCTCTTCATATTGCATTTGAATCGAGATTAAAATATCAAGGGGGATGCGTTAAAGTATCAGTATAGTTTCCTCTTCTTAGACCATACAGCATTTATGGTGCCCAGAGTCCTTTATCTGATTTGTAAGAAAGCTCGATAAACCAACGCTGTAAAAAAGTGGGGATTTTCAGGCGTTTGATTTTGAGCATGACTGCAAGCCTGCCATTGCAATTACAGCAATCAAGTGTAGTTAATATCAGGCTAATCGCAGGCACATTTACGCTAGGAGTTAATTCTTCGACAAGGATGCCGGGTATACATGCTCTTTAATGGGAGCATAAATTTGCTTGCCCCACCCATCACACCTGTTTTCTGTTTAAAGCGGCATCGATACTGATCATACGCATAATAATAATAAAAATAATAATAAATTCTCTTTTTGCACCTACTCAAATGGCTGGAATTCTAGCCCAATGACACCCAACGCCAACAACTAGAGAAAATTGATAAATATTGATGAAAACAATATTATTGATATATATTGGC